GTGAATGGAGACAGGAATTGGGGAGGGAGATTGACACTTCCAGTCCACACGCCAGTAACCTACCCCTTCTGCCCAGGTCCCCATAATCCAGTCACCTTGAAACACCCCTTCTAGGAGCACATGACACTGGGAAGGGGGCTGGATATAAACCCCCACAACATAGAAATTAAATGAGTTTATGGTACACACTGTACATGAAAATCACTTAGCAAGTTGTCATCGCTGTTTTCTCAGCAGATCTTCAGTGACAACTGCCACCATTTAAGAAGTGTCCAGTGTTTTGTACACAAAAGCTTTGAATACAAGCAGAATGGGCAGTCTGTTGTGATTCTTATATTACAGAAAATGATTCTTATATTACAGAAAATGAAACTGAGGGGCTGGATCTGTAGCTCAGTGCTGAAATGCTTGCCTAGCACACTTGGGATCCTGGATTTGAACCCTAGCACTGCCAGAATTTTCTGAAAAGAGATTCTACATGCCTGGCTCCCTTGGTGTCTCCGCTGGGATGACCCAGTGGCTTGCCCTTCATCCTACTTTGTCGTGCCATGTCAGAGCTGACTCACCTCCTTGCTCCAAACAGCCTCCACCAGAGAAATACCTTTGTGGGCTAACTGCTTACAAAGGCCCTTTCTTCAACCAAGCTGTAAGCTGGCTTTTTCAGAGTTGTGGTCTTTTTCTCCATTTTCCAGCCGAGTTACAGCCAGCCACCTTACAACCAGGGAGGTTACAGCCAGGGCTACACAGCCCCACCACCTCCACCTCCACCACCACCTGCCTACAACTACGGGAGCTATGGTGGCTACAACCCAGCCCCCTATACCCCACCACCGCCCCCCACTGCACAGACCTACCCTCAGCCCAGCTATAACCAGTATCAGCAGGTAGGTGACAAGTGAGGCACTGGTGGGATGGGGAGATTTTCAGGGGTCCTTCCTGAGTCTGTTTCCAGACTCCAGTCCCTGCTTACCCCTAAAAAGATGGGTAGCCTCCTGCCCTCAAGCTAGCATTTGGATCAATAAAGCCTGGCTTGTGCTGGTTTTCAAATAACTGGTATCTAGCCAGAGATGCAAGCGCAAGGTCCTGAGTTTGATCCCCAGTGGGGAGGCGGGCAGGGGTTAAATAACTTATACCTACCTGGTCCAAGATGCAGTGGGGGGGCAGGCTTGCAAAGCAGGGCTTCCTAGTTCTTCAGCACCATGGCCAGGGGGCTCTAAACCCACGCCGCCACCATACTGGTGGTTTTGTTTTTTTTTTTTGTTTTTTGTCTTCATTTGGAATGTGATGCTTTAAAGAGGCACTGGGTTGACAAGCCAGGGGACCTGTCCTGCAGTTCCAAGATGCCCATACATGGCATTAGGTCAGCTACTTGTCCTCTTGAGGCACCTTAATTTCTCTCTCATTGGACCCAGTTGTCACCAATCTCTGCTCTAGGCAGGGGTGTGCCAGGGGAGGAATTAAATGTGGAATGGGCAGAGGACAACTTGGTGCTTTTGGTCTCTCTCTGCAGTACGCTCAGCAGTGGAACCAGTACTATCAAAACCAGGGCCAGTGGCCACCGTACTACGGGAACTACGACTATGGGAGCTACTCCGGCAGCACACAGGGTGGCACAAGCACACAGTAGCCAGTGTGTCCAGAGGCTCCTGGAGGCCCCTGCCGGCTTCCTGCACCAGCGCCTACCTTGGCCCCTCCTCTGCACCCACCAGATCCTGTGGTGCTGGGGTTGGGGTCATCCCAGGGCTGCTTCCTTTCAGCCCACTGCCTCCCCTCTGAGGGGCTTCTTCCCACACACAGGCCAGGCGATTTTCTCTGGATTTAAACAGGCCACAATGAGCTTTTATTTTCTTTTTGTCCCTTCCACTTCCCATCTCTTCCTCTTCCTCTTCCTCCTTATCTCCATTTTGACTAAAGAACCCCCCTCCCTTGGTCATGGTGTTGAGGCCACAGTGTCCAAAGGGCAGACCTTTTCCTGTTCACTCCTCCCAGCCCTGCTCCAGTCCCTCGGCTTCCCAGACCCTCATGCAGTTGGTTGTAAATTCTTCCAGATGCTGTTTTACTGTCTACTTTTCAGGATTAAAAAGAAAAAAAATCAAAAACTTTTTTAAAAAAAGTTTTAAAAGCAAAATGCAGAGGGAGGAAGCAGTGACATATTTTTTGGAAATTATGCTTTTTTTTTTTTTTTTAAGAACTTGTCTGTTTTTACTGTCGGTCAGCCATTGATACTTTGTCAGAATAACCGTTTCTTTGCTGAGTTCAGGTGACCGAGGAAGAGCCACACCCTCAAAACAACAAAACACACGAAACCACAGAATCATCTTTAACCAAACTTTTTATATGATGTCTCAGTTCCCGGTAACTTTGCACACAAGCTTTCTGTGTTCAGTTGAATTGTAACGGCTTTTTGTATTTGGAGAGAGTGTGACTATTGAACTTGAACTTTTATTCCAGGCGTCTTGGTAGTTTCTGGTGGGGTTGAGTGGGTGAAAGGGTGAAAGAAAGGTGGGGGCTCCTTCCCTTCAGAATATGGAGTTTCCCCTAGTGCACCCTCTCCTCTTCCTGGGGCCAGATCTCAAGTTTTTCCTACCATGATCCTCTGATTATTACTTCCCCTTGATCTGAATGTTTTAACAGGATTTTAACAAATACTGCACTTACTAAGAAATGTGTTTTCCCTGTTTTGTTTTCTTTCAATAAATGACATGGCACCTCCTTGCAGGAAGGAAGCAGGGTTGAAACCCTGAAGTGTTACTGCAGTTGGCCTTTAATTGGGGTGGGAGCCTTTGCAAGGGAAAATGATTTACTCGTTTGTTAAACAAACGCTTACTGAGGGAGTTGTGTGCCTGGCCCTAATTTTAGTGCTGAGGATATCCCTTGAACCTCAGGCCTCAGTTTAAAATATGCCAGTAGTTGGGTTGCTTTGGTTTGGGTTGGGTTTTTTGTTTTGTTTTGTTTATACCAGGGATCAAACTTGAGTCCTTGCAAGTAAGTCAGCGGAACCACTGAGCTAATTCCCCAGCCCTGGTTTGGTATTTTGAGACAAGGTCTCACTGTATTCCAGGCTGGCTTCAAACTTGGTGATCTTCCTGCCTCAGCCTCCCAAGTGTTGGTATTCTGCACATGCCTGGTTCACACTAGTGTTTGGTGTTTTTTTGTTTTTGTTTTTGTTTTTGTTTTCATTGGTTTTTTGAGACAGGGCCTTACTATGTAGTTCAGGCTGCTGTTGAACTCACTATATAGCCCAGGATAACCTCAAACTTTGAGCCATCCTCCTAAGTGCTGGGATTGCAGGTGTGTGTCACCATGCCCAGCACAGCACTGTGTTGACTGTCTCATCTCAACTCCCTTCATGCATATCTTAGTAGAAAGCACAGAACAAACAGGTCTGTAAGCAAAGGGACATGTGGGGCTGTTTACGCAGAGCCATCACTGAGTATTGCCTTGCACTGTGGGCTCAGCTGTTTGCAGTTCCGGGAGCTTTCTCAGCTCATGTACACTATGTGCCTGCTCTTCTCTACTGACCTCCACTGTGCTGGGGATGCAGCATGGCTAAGGTAGTCCTATCCCTGGTTTTCACCAACTTCCTGCTCCATAGAGAACATGCACTTGTCATCAGAAAGTGACTGCCTTAGGCCGGGGATTTAGTTCAGTGGCAACACACCTGCTTGGCAAGTGCAAAGTCCTGAGTCTGATTCCAAATACTGGGGCGGGTGGATGAAACAACAACAAAGGAAGTGACGGCACGGAGATGGTGAGTGAGGGAGGAAGTAACAGGAGTCAGCTTTAGGATTGCATCTCTGGCCCATCTTCCTCTCCCTAGCAGCTTCATTTCTCAACCAACCCCCCCCCCCTTTCCTCATAGGATTTCTGAACGTTGTGAAGGGACATCCTATGAAAGGCATGGTGAGGCAGGAGAATCATCCACGAGTTTGAGGTCAGCCTAGGCTACATAGCAAGACCCTGTCTCAAGAAAAAAAAGATAGGGAAGTTGACTTAAGCCCTGGTGTGAAGCATGTAAACGTAAGATAGGGCCAGAGTTGGCAGCTAAAAGGAACCATGTTCCAGAAGAGTACAGCGAGGCCTCAGGTACTCTAGTCTGGGAAGAGAACCTTTGAACCCTTCACAGCAGCTGCTTGTGATGGGCGATAGCGCCCTCTGCTGACCTGATGTGCCTGCCGGTGTAGTTGTCCTATGGAGTGTGGCAAACCAGGCCCTCAAAGACTTCACGTCTTCCGCCTGGGATTTAGCGCAGTGGTTCTGCAGCCTGCCTCGCAAGCTCAAGATCCCGAGTTCGAACCCCCGGTGCCCTTCCAAAAAAACGGGGAAGAAAAGAAACCACATCTTTAGATCTCATGAGGATGTAAATAAAGAAGTTCTCAGTGTGGATTATTATGCCAGCCATCTCAGATCTCCACCCCCTTACCTTGATCCCCTGGAGGACAAAGAAGCGCAAGCCATTCAATAAGGTTTACCAGGGCCTGCATGGCCTGGCACCTGGTGACCTCAAAGGCTTTCACCTCTTTGTACTTTAAGTCTCACCCTAGGCTTTCCTTCCAGAAAGGTATCTAACCCAGTCTGGAGATAGGTTCCTCAGTCTCCAGGTCCATCAGAAACCTGGCCCCACGTTTGTCACTGGTGATGTCTGCTCTTCAATCGGGATCAGTTTTTCCTCCAAGTGTGCATTATGGTCCAGGTTGTGGGAACAAAGTGAGAAGTTCTATCCTTGATCTCACCACCCATCTCATGCCATCCAAGAGTCAGGGCTTAATATTCTTCGTGGTGGTGAAGAAATGAAGGTGATAGAAGTCTAAAAATGAGCAAGACCTCGAGAACGATAGTTGTACGTCCTAGACAGTGGTCACTCGACCATCCATTCCCAATATTAAGTACGTCAGGAGCTAGAGTAATAGCAACGAGCAAATAAGCCATGGTTTGGGTCTTCCCTTGATTTTCTACCTTCTTATAAGAGAGGCTGAAGTTTCTCTCATCGGAGTCCTTTGCTTCCGGTCTGTGGGAGGTGAGGCCGGGGAGAATACGCATGCGCATAAAAAGCTCCGCTTCGAGCCGGAACTTTGGTGCCTGGGCGCAGTGGCGCGTACAACCCTTTGCACCGTGCACAGACGGAAGTGGCTATTCCGTGCGTAGGGTCGAGGTTGGCGCGCGGGACTAGCTGCGGCGGCTGACAAATCGGAGATTCAGGATGGAGGCGGTGGCGGCGACAGCGACAGCAAAGGAGAAGGAACCCAGTGAGGGTGAGATGTTGGCTACGCAGACATATCAGGAGGGTACAGTGGCGGTGTCACTAAGAAATGCCTCCCCTGTGCCGCGAAAGGGGACTCTTTCTGGGGAGGACACCTGCTCTCAGCCTCACCTGTCCGCTCTACACCTTGTCCATGTTGGCCCCTCTCATCGCGGTCTGACCGCCATTCCTTCCATTTTCTTCCCTGAAATTAACCTTTTCCCACTTCAACTCTTTCCATGACCTAGGAAAGCCCGTTTCCTTGGTAGCCTCTCAGGTTAACATAAACCTCTATCCTGCCCTGGGCCAACACTCCCGTCTCAGGCCATCGCGTCGTTTCAGATTATTTCCTTCTCTGTGACAAACTGAGCTTTTCTTTGCGCCAGGCGAGTCCTGCTGCTGTCGTATGCAAACTGTTTATCCCAGACTAACAAACAAGTCCTCCTCTCATTCGAACTCCCCTTCCTCCAAAGCCCACATTCCATTTTGCCTAAAGTCCTTACTCCATTTCTGTGATCTCCTTTTTCTTTCCCTTGCATCTTCGATGTTTTTCACTTATTCTGATGTATTCTCATTAATAGCTATTTTTTTTTCCTCATTTTACAATTTGTCCCGATGTTTCAAAGTAATCTTTGAGCTGTGGTTGTGAAGTTTGAACCACCACTGTGGCTGGGCGCGTGCCAGTAATCCCTTCACTCTGTGGGACGTTGAGTCAGAAGGATCAAGTTTGAGTTTAGCCTGAGCAATTTAAGGACTCAGCATGACGGTGTCAAAATAAATGTAAAAGGGCTGGGTATGTTGCTCAAGTGCAAAAGCCCTAGGTTCAATCCCCAGTACCACCAAAACAAACACCACTGGCTAAGAACTGGTAATTGTTGAAACAGGATGCTGGGTATATGAATGTGGGGGGAGGGTTATCAGTTTACCCTACTTTTGTGTGACTGAAATTTTTCATAATAAAGTTTTACTGTGTTTTTTTTTTTTTTTTTTTACTTCTCACTGCTCCCAGCCTAAATTTTGTTTTATTTTCTGAGCAAAAGACAACCTATCCCATGGCCCTATGGTGACTTCCAGATACCATCTATCACCATTTGCTTACCTCCCACATACTGCAGTCTGGTTTTTTTCTTCAAAATTGCTATGGTTAGGGTCCCCAATGACTTATCCCCATTTGCAGCTAAACAGTCACTCCGTCCTGTTTTCTTCTTCATAAATTACTTGGAGGACTCAGTGTCATTGACCCCTCCATCCTTCTTGTAAATTTTCCCTTGGTTTTGTGACACCATTCTCTGATTTCCCTCCTGTCTCTCAGGTACCTCCTTCTCAGCCTTTGCATTTGTTTCTTGTGGCTGCTGTAACAGATTGTCATAAACTGGGTGGGCTCAAACATAAACAGGGTGGCCAGAAGTCTGAAATCAGTAGCACTGGAGTGATAGTAACGTATCCCCAGGCCACACTCATGCACAAGCTCTCCGCTATTCCTTGCCTCTCCAGTCAGTGATGGCTTCCGGAATTCCTAGCTGGTGGCCCCATCATGCAAGTCTATTCTGCCTTCATACTGCTTTCTGTTTTCTGTGTGTCAGCTCTTCCTTAGCCTTTTTTTTGTTTTTTTAGACAAGGTTTTGCTATGTTACCCATGCTGGGTTCAAACCGAATCTTTTGTTAGGATTGCAAGTTTGAGACGAGACTAGGTAAATTAGCAAGACCGTGTCTCAAAAATTTTTTTTTAAATTCCCCTTTATTTATTATTCTTTGAGTGATTTTTCTTGTTTGTGTGTGTGGAGGCAGGGTCTTGCCATGTATCCCAGGCTAGCCTCGAACTTGAGGCAATCCTCCTGCCTCAGCCTCTCAAGGGCTGGGGTTACAGGCCTATGCTACCATGCTGTACTTCTCAAGCTCTCGTATAGAACACTTGTGTTACATTTAGGACACACCTGGATAATTCAGGATAATCTCTCCCATTTTAAGAGCATTAAATGCATCTGTGGAGATTCTGCCCCCTACTCCCATGTCCCATAACTGCCACAGGCTCCAGGGATTGAGATGTGGCCTTCACAGACATGACCTCTCCTATGTGTTCTGGTGCTTTTTCCTAGCCCTTCCTTTCTCATCCCTTACATCCCTTACCTCCTTGCCCTCCCCTGCACCCACCTTTCATTTCCTTCTGCTAAAACAGGAGGAACTAAAGTTCTTGTCTTGGCTCTGATGACACCCACAACTCTTTGTCTCTCGCCCAACACTTCTTGTCCTGAGCAGCCGGAAGGCCTGTATCCTAGCAGTCTCTCAGATACCTCCCCTGGCTCCCTCGTACCTTCCATGTCCAAAACCAACCTTTGTATTTTTTCCACAACTTCTCCTTGTCTGTGTCCCTATCTCAAGAAGAGTTTGATCAACCCCTAGGCCAGAATCTTGGGCCTGATCCTGGATGCCTCCCTCACCTCTCAACCTCCAGCCCTACAGTTTGCCCCCTCAGCTTCATGAGCATTTTCCTAATTCTTCAGCCACGCTCCCCCTCCTTCCCAGCCCCTGCCCCTGCCCCTGACCCAGCTCTGTCTTCTCTTCTCTTT